AACGTGTGTGTGTAACGTGTGTGTGTAACGTACGTATGTGTACGTGGACGTCGAGAAGACGGGAAGGAAATGAAAAGGCAGAGGGTGGAGACGGAGCGAGATGAAAGTCAGTCGCAGTTAGTTGGCATGATCGTTAGGCGACCTTTGGGGCTAATCGCGCCCCGCAAATGAGCTATTTCGTTTTTCGCGTTGATTGCGTGTCGGTCGGGCTGATAACGTTTGTATAGAGGCCCTTTATGCCGTCCACGACAAGGATTCCGGGGATTTCGTGCGCGCCGTCGCTAAATTCGCCGGTGAAATTGCGGACCAAGCTTCGGTCTCGTCAGCGGCCTGTCACGGACAAATCTTGCCGTTCGGCTGGATCCAGGTGAAATCGTTCACGCGGGAACTCCGGCTCTCGATGGAAGCTTCTTAGCGACTGCCGAATCTCTTCGTTAATGATACGTATAAATTCGCGCGAGCGTCTCGTGCTCGATCAAACCGGGAAGAAGCGTCGCGAAGGAAGCGAGTCGTGCACGGTTCTCGGAAATTCATCAAAAAAATATGTGTAATACGCAGCGAGCCCGAGTGGTTACGAGAATCAGCCTTAATTACATACACGGGGTGTGGGCTAGTAATTGCGACCGGTTAATTAGATTTTCAGGACGGCGTGCACTTCTCGCTACAGAAATAGCTGACCGAACCAAGAACCGGATAGCGGAGACGCGCAAACAGTGCTGCGTGTACAACGAACAATTTTAATCAACCAGTTGTTATCCCCTCGCGATAATTCACTTCCAATTCGAATTCGATGTTATCGTCTTTTTGTGTTTAACCGAACAACAACCGCGGAGAACAAAGGACTGAATACGAATAAACGACGAATTATTATCGTTATCTCGTCGTTACTCGTTCTCTCGATGGAAATTTGATCGAATTTTAACGACAAAGTGACGGAAGCGTAATTGTAACGTTTTATATATAAATTCGATATAAATTCGATATAAATTCGATGTGAATTCGCCTTGAATTTTCGAGAGTTTGTTTATATATATCGGAGTGTAATACGTTTCTGTTGCTTTAATTCTTTACGCTGAACGTCGTTTTCCACGTCGCGTCCCTCCGGCTTCATACTTTTTGCCCGTCTTCTGAAACTGCACCCTACTTGAACTGAATTTTTCTGCGATCGTTGCGTGGAAAATATCTCCGGGACCACGAATATTTCGCATCAAAGCGGTGTTTCATTGAAAACAAAAATATTCGCTTTGCTCTTGCATCAACGGAACCAATTTCCCGAGACCCGTTTATAGAGCGCTATAACCGGCAACATAAATGTCTTCTCGCGTGGAAATAAATGTCCAATCCTCGAAAAGAAATTCGCGTTATCGCGACCGGTATATTATTAATCGCGAAACATCGCATTTGAATTATGACATGGAAGTGCTCCGGGCACTTTTGCTCCATCGCCAGCGCGTAACGATTTTTCCCCGTTGCAATTGACAACTCGGTTATTTAGCGTCCGCTGTCTATTAATTCCCACTGAATTCCGAGAAATTATACAATACTTTCATAATAAATTACTCGACCGATCGAACGGTAAATAAATGTTATTTCTAACCGACTTCGAAAGGGAGCAAGTTACTCGATTCGACACGTATATATTTATTTATTTATTTTTGGTATAAATTAACTAGAAATTTCGAAAGGGAGCAAGTTGTTCGATTCGACACGTATATATTTATTTATTTATTTACTTTTGGTATAAATTAACTAGAAATTTCGAAAGGGAGCAACTTGTTCGATTCGACACGTATATATTTATTTATTTATTCATTTTTGGTATAAATTAACTAGAAATTTCGAAAGGGAGCAAGTTGTTCGATTCGACACGTATATATTTATGTATTTATTTTTGGTATAAATTAACTAGAAATTTCGAAAGGTAGTGAATGGAACGACACCTCTTGCATCTTGTGTTGTAATTTTCGAAATAAAAAAATATTAAACCTGCTCTAAAAAGTCTGAAATAATTTCTAGCTAATTTATACGAATACTCGACAGTTCTACATATAATTCCTCGAATATTAAATTATATCCAATAATATATTAAATTTCTATGCTTTTATATTCGTATAAATTTCTATGCTTTTATATTCGTATAAATTTCTATGCTTTTATATTCGTATAAATTAACTAGAAATTTCAAAAGGGAGCAAGTTACTCGATTCGACACGTATATATTTATTTATTTATTCATTTTTGGTATAAATTAACTAGAAATTTCGAAAAAGAGCAAGTTGTTCGATTCGACATGTATATATTTATTTATTTATTCATTTTTGGTATAAATTAACTAGAAATTCCGAAAGGGAGCAAGTTGTTTGATTCGACACGTATATATTTATTTAGTTATTCATTTTTGGTATAAATTAACTAGAAATTTCGAAAAAGAGCAA